GAAACTATCGTCACTGTCAAGCTGAAACTATCGTCACTCTCACACCGAAATCATCGTCACTGTCACGCTGAAACTATCGTCACTCTCACATTGAAATCATCGTCACTTTCCCACCAAAACATCGTCACTGTCACACCGAAACCAAACCATGTACTAATTCATAAACATACCTGTATCAATAAACCATGTACTAATTCATAAACATACCTGTATCAATAAGCCATGTACTAATTCATACAGCGAGAGCCCGAAGACAACTTATCACAGACATCCGAAAGAGACAGTCATCATTTTTCCGCCATGTTATGAGAAGTGGGAAAATAGAACATGTTGTGACCACTGGAAAGATCTGTGGAAGGAGGGATAGAGGAAGACAACTAGAGAAGATTCTTGACAGTCTTGCTGCATGGCATGGAAGTGTGTCGGTACACGAACTATTACATGATGCAGGAGTTTGCAGATTGTGGAGAGGCATAATCGCCCATGCAAGTCAGCAAGGCAACTGATGATGATTACCTTCATCATCAAACCATGCATGCACGAGTTCTAAAACATACCTTTATTATCACACCATTTACCAATTCATGAACATACATTCATCATCAATCTATGCACCAGTTCATAAGCTTACATATCATCCTCACCCAAAGTACTCATTGATGGACATACCTTCATTCATCATCTCTGTATCATTCTCTCCCCTTTTGCTCTCATGCTCTGCCACACACTGGCACACAGCTTCCCACACCCCTCCCCTCTCCTCTCTCTCTCTCTCTCTCTCTCTCTCTCTCTCTCTCTCTCTCTCTCTCGTCCACACACGCACACACCCACATTCTTTCTTCATTCCCTCTCTCACCTACGCGTTCGTGCGCGTGCGCGCGCACGCAGACACAAACACACACAGAATGAGAGATAGAGAGTGCAGCGTTAGCCTCCATTACAGTCACAAGTCACGTAAAACACACACAGAATGAGAGACAGAGAGTGCAGCGTTAGCCTCCATTAGAGTCACAAGTCACGTAAAACACACACAGAATGAGAGACAGAGAGTGCAGCGTTAGCCTCCATTAGAGTCACAAGTCACGTAAAACACACAAGCTTAAACCTGGTGCAGCTCAGAACCTCCCAACCCCAATCTGCCAATGTTTAAGTTTGTGTGACAACTTTGTGATGTGTCGCAGATATGTGATGTGTGACAGCTATATGATGTGTCGCAGCTATGTGATGTGTGAAAGCTTTGTGATGTGTCGCAGCAATGTGATGTGTCGTAGCTATGTGACGTGTCGCAGCTATGTGATGTGCAGCAGCTATGTGATGTATGGTAGCTAGGTGATGTGTCGCAGCTATGTGATGTGTCGCAGCTATGTGATGTGTCGCAGCTATGTGATGTATCGCAGCTATGTGATGTGTCGCAGCTATGTGATGTGTAGTAGCTATGTGACGTGTCGCAGCTATATGACGTGTCGCAGCTATGTGATGTGTGGTAGCTTTGTGACGTGTCGCAGCTATGTGACGTGTCGCAGCTATGTGATGTGTGGTAGCTATGTGACGTGTCGCAGCTATGTGATGTGTCGCAGCTATGTGATGTGTCGCAGCTATTTGACGTGTCGCAGCTATGTGATGTGTCGCAGCTATGTAATGTGTCGCAGCTATGTGATGAGTCGCAGCTATGTGATGTGTCCCAGCTATGTGATGTGTCGCAGCTATGTGATGTGTGGCAGCTATGTGATGTGTGGCAGCTATGTGATGTGTCCCAGCTATGTGATGTGTCCCAGCTATGTGATGTGTTGCAGCTATGTGATGTGTCGCAGCTATGTGATGTGTGGCAGCTATGTGATATGTCCCAGCTATGTGATGTGTCCCAGCTATGTGATGTGTGGTAGTTATGGGGCCAGAACCTGTGCACGGCAAGGAGGCTGCTAGTCCCGGCAGATTCACACACAAGATGCCCTCGAGCAGATTCTGATTTTCTGAAGAAGACTAACTGTGTGACCATATCCAAGAGCTCACTTTTCCAAATACACAGTTACACACTTGCACAGATTCGACTCCAGAAATGATAAGCTAGATGGTTGTGTGATGTGTTCATCTGGTCTCTCTCTCACCGCCACATGAACACAATTGCTAGCTGCAGATTTCATATCCCGACAACACACAATGTACAACGTGTACAAGTTATCCATGAAGTCACGTGTCTGGTGCCAGTGCAATATCTGACAACTCTCTGTAACTACCTCGGTTTTTGTTGGAAGCATCACGTGTCTTGTGTCACGGTAAATGTCTGGCAACTCTCTGTAAATACCGCGGTTTCTGTTGGAAGCATCACGTGTCTTGTGTCACGGTAAGTGTCTGACAGCTGTCTGTAACTACCGCGGTTTCTGTTGGAAGCATCACGTGTCTTGTGTCACGGTAAGTGTCTGAAATCCTTTAACAATCATAATTTTTCGACCAGAAACACGGCAACGTTTGGTAATCCTCATTCCTAGACATTAGAACAATCATTAGTCTTCAGTCCTAGACATTAGAACAGTCATTATTCCTCATTGCTAGACATTAAAACAGTCATTATTCCTCATTGCTAGACATTAAAACAGTCATTATTCCTCATTGCTAGACATTAGAACAGTCATTATTCCTCATTGCTAGACATTAAAACAGTCATTATTCCTCATTGCTAGACATTAGAACAGTCATTATTCCTCATTGCTAGACATTAAAACAGTCATTATTCCTTATTGCTAGACATTAGAACAGTCATTATTCCTCATTGCTAGACATTAAAACAGTCATTATTCCTCATTGCTAGACATTAGAACAGTCATTATTCCTCATTGCTAGACATTAGAACAGTCATTATTCCTCATTGCTAGACATTAAAACAGTCATTATTCCTCATTGCTAGACATTAGAACAGTCATTATTCCTCATTGCCAGACATTAAAACAGTCATTATTCCTCATTGCTAGACATTAGAACAGTCGTTATTCTTCAGTCACAACTCCACGGTGAGCAGACACACTTGTTACGCAACAACCCAAGCAAGCGTGACTTGGACATGGCAGAGACCAGAAGTTCTCCACACGCCCGACTGAAGCAGTCATGTTGCCAAAGGTGATATATGGTTCAGGTTATAAATACCGACCATTAAATGGCATTGGTGTACATGGGTTTTTATTCTTAGTTTGCAGTGCGACAAGGTGTCTTTCATAAGCTCAATAGCAAAATGTGGACCGGGTACATCTCACAACCGGTTTACTCTCGGGTGCGTTACGACGAGGCTTAGGTCTGACACTACCTGCACAGTCACCTGAATGTAAAAGTGCTGCAGTCATAAGTCAGCCCTGCCAGTGATTTCTGTTCTCCTGCTATTGGGCTGTAAATGGACATGTGCATCTGACCAAGCTAACTAGTTAGCACAACACAGAGGCCAGCACTTTGGGAGGTTGTGTTTGTTGTAAGCGGTTGCAGTCAGCACTGGGTTCTTTCAGCTATATCAACAATACAAAGGCTCTCGCATCACCTGAGCTCACTGCCGGGAGATTTTCTGCAATTCTGATACTTTTGGGAGAAAACATACATCTCTTCAGGTAACTGACAATTTACTAATTATATATGACTTTTATACATTATGTGGTTCTCGAACGTTCACTTTATGTGACTCTCATACATTTATTTTACGTGACTCTCATACATTTACTTTACGTGACTCTCATACACCTACTTTACGAAACTCTCATACACTTATTTTACGTGACTCTCATACATTTATTTTACGTGACTCTCATACATTTATTTCAGGTGACTCTCATACATTCACTTTATGTATTTCTCGTTCCTTTACTTTATGTGGCTCTTATGTCCTCGCTTTATGTATCTCTCGTGCCTTCACTTTATGTATCTCTCGTGCCTTTACTTTATTTGGCTTTCCTGTCCTCGCTTTATGTGGCTAGTATGTCTTCACTTTTTGTAGCTCTCGTGTCTTCACTTTATGTAGCTCTCGTGTCTTTACTTTATGTAGCTCTCATGTCTTCACTTTATGTAGCTCTCGTGTCTTCACTTATTGTAGCTCTCGTGTCTTCACTTTATGTAGCTCTCGTATCTTCACTTTATGTAGCTCTCGTGTCTTCACTGTATGAAGCTCTCATGTCTTCACTTAATGTAGCTCTCGTGTCTTCACTTTATGTATCTCTCGTGTCTTCACTTAACGTAGCTCTCGTGTCTTCACTTTATGTAGCTCTCTTGTCTTCACTATGTAGCTCTCATGTCATCACTTTATGTAGCTCTCGTGTTTTTATTTTATGTAACTCTCGTGTCTTCACTTTATGTATCTCTCGTGTCTTCACTTTATGTAGCTTTCATGTCTTCACTTTATGTAGCTCTCATGTCTTCACTTTATGTAGCTCTCATGTCTTCACTTTATGGAGCTTTCATGTCTTCAATTTATGTAGTTCTCGTGTCTTTACTTTATGTAGCACTCATATCTTCACTTTATGTATCTCTCGTGTCTTCACTTTATGTAGCTCTCGTGTCTTAACTTTATGTAGCTCTCGTGTCTTCACTTTATGTAGCTCTCGTGTCCTCACTTTATGTAGCTCTCGTGTCTTCACTTTATGTAGCTCTCGTGTCTTCACATTTTGTAGCTCTCGTGTCTTCACTTAATGTAGATCTCGTGTCTTTACTTTATGTAGCTCTTATGTTTTCACTTTATGAAGCTCTCATGTCTTCACTGTGTTCAGCTCTCATGTCTTCAGTTTATGTAGCTCTCATGTCTTCACTTTATGTAGCTCTCGTGTCTTCACTTTATGTATCTCTCATGTCTTCACTTAATGTAGCTCTCGTGTCTTCACTTTATGTAGCTCTCATGTCTTCACTTTAAATAGCTCTCGTGTCTTCACTTTATATATCTCTCGTGTCTTCACTTAATGTAGCTCTCATGTCTTCACTTTATGTAGCTCCCGTGTCTTCACTGTATGTAGCTCTCATGTCTTCACTTTATGTAGCTCTCATGTCTTCACTTGATGTAGCTCTCAAGACTTCACTTTATGTAGCTCTTATGTCTTCACTTTATTTAGCTCTCATGTCTTCACTTTATGTAGCTCTCGTGTCTACACTTTATGTAGCTATCATGTCTTCACTTTATGTAGCTCTCATGTCTTTACTTTATGTAGCTCTCGTGTCTTCACTTTATGTAGCTCTCGTGTCTTCACTTTATGTAGCTCTCGTGTCTTCACTTTATGTAGCTCTCGTGTCTTCACTTTATGTATCTCTCGTGTCTTCACTTAATGTAGCTCTCGTATCTTCACTTTATGTAGCTCTTAAGTCTTCTCTTTATGTAGCTCTCGTGTCTTTACTTTATGTAGTCTCGTGTCTTTACTTTATGTATCTCTCGTGTCTTCACTTAATGTAGCTATCGTGTCATCACTTTATGTAGCTCTCATGTCTTCACTTTATGTAGCTCTCGTGTCATCACTTTATGTAGCTCTCATGTCGTCACTTTATGTAGCTATCATGTCTTCACTTTATGGAGCTCTCATGTATTCACTTTATGTCTCTCTCGTGTCTTCACTTTATGTAGCTCTAATTTCTTCACTTTATGTAGCTCTTATGTCTTCAGTTTATGTAGCTCTCATGTCTTTACTTTATGTAGCTCTCGTGTATTCACTTTATGTAGCTCTCATGTCTTCACTTTATGTAGCTTTCATGTCTTCACTTTATGTATCTCTCGTGTCTGCACTTTATGTAGCTCTAGTGTCTTCACTTTATGTAGCTCTCGTATCTTCACTTTATGTAGCTCTCGTATCTTCACTTTATAAATCTCTCGTGTCTTTACTTTATGTAGCTTTCGTGCTTTCACTTTATGTAGCTCTCGTGTCTTCACTTTATGTAGTCTCGTTTCTTCACTTTATGTAGCTCTCGTGTCTTCACTTTTTGTAGCTCTCGTGTCTTCACTTAATGTAGCTCACATGTCTTCACTTTATGTTGCTCTCATGTCTTCACTTTATGTAGCTCTCGTGTCTTCACTTTGTGTATCTCTCGTGTCTTCACTTAATGTAGATCTCGTGTCTTCACTTAATGTAGCTCTCATGTCTTCACTTTACGTAGCTCTCATGTCTTCACTTTATGTAGCTCTCATGTGTCTTCACTTTTTATGTAGCTCTCGTGTCTTCACTTTATGTAGCTGTCTTCACTTTATGTAGCTCTCTTGTCTTCACTTTTTGTAGCTCTCGTGTCTTCACTTTTTATAGCTCTCGTGTCTTCACTTTATGAAGCTCTCGTTTCTTTACTTTTTGTAGCTCTCGTATCTTCACTTTATGAAGCTCTCAAGTCTTTACTTTATGTATCTCTCGTGTCTTCACTTTATGTAGCTTTCGTGCTTTCACTTTATGTAGCTCTCGTGTCTTCACTTTATGTAGCTCTCGTGTCTTCACTTTATGTAGTCTCGTGTCTTCACTTTATACAGCTCTCGTGTCTTCACTTTTTGTAGCTCTCGTGTCTTCACTTAATGTAGATCTCGTGTCTTCACTTAATGTAGCTCTCATGTCTTCACTTTATGTAGCTCTCGTGTCTTCACTTTATGTAGCTCTCATGTCTTCACTTTATGTAGCTCTTGTGTCTTCACTTTATGTAGCTCTCATGTCTTCACTTAATGTAGCTCTCATGTCTTCACTTAATGTAGCTCTCATGTCTTTACTTTATGTAGCTCTCATGTCTTCACTTTATGTAGCTCTCATGTCTTCACTTTATGTAGCTCTCATGTCTTCACTTTATGTAGCTCTCATGTCTTCACTTTATGTAGCTCTCATGTCTTCACTTAATGTAGCTCTCATGTCTTCACTTTATGTAGCTCTCGTTTCTTCACTTTATGTAGTCTCGTGTCTTCACTTTATGTAGTTCTCGTGTCTTCACTTTATGTAGCTCTCATGTCTTCACTTAATGTAGCTCTCAGGTCTTCACTTTATGTAGCTCTCATGTCTTTACTTTATGTAGCTCTCGTGTCTTCACTTTATGTAGCTCTCATGTCTTTACTTTATGTAGCTCTCGTGTCTTAACTTTATGTAGTTCTCGTGTCTTCACTTTATGTAGCTGTCGTGTCTTTACTTTATGTAGCTCTCGTGTCTTCACTTTATGTAGCTCGCGTGTCTTCACTTTATGTAGGTCTCGTGTCTTCAATTTATGTAGCTCTCGTGTCTTCACTTTATGTAGCTCTCATGTCTTCACTTTATGTAGCTCTCGTGTCTTCACTTTATGTAGTTCTCGTGTCTTCACTTTATGTAGCTCTCATGTCATCACTTTATGTAGCTCTCATGTCGTCACTTTATGTAGCTCTCGTGTCTTCACTTTATGTAGCTCTCGTGTCTTCACTTTATGTAGCTCTCATGTCTTCACCTTATGTAGTTCTTTTGTCTTCACTTTATGTAGCTCTCATGTCTTCACCTTATGTAGCTCTCGTGTCTTCACTTTATGTATCTCTCGTGTCTTCACTTTATGTATCTCTCGTGTCTTCACTTTATGTAGCTCTTGTGTCTTCACTTTATGTAGCTCTCGTGTCTTCACTTTATGTATCTCTCTTGTCTTCACTTTATGTATCTCTCGTGTCTTCACTTTATGTAGCTCTAATTTCTTCACTTTATGTAGCTCTTATGTCTTCAGTTTATGTAGCTCTCATGTCTTTACTTTATGTAGCTCTCGTGTATTCACTTTATGTAGCTCTCATGTCTTCACTTTATGTAGCTTTCATGTCTTCACTTTATGTATCTCTCGTGTCTGCACTTTATGTAGCTCTAGTGTCTTCACTTTATGTAGCTCTCGTATCTTCACTTTATGTAGCTCTCGTATCTTCACTTTATGAATCTCTCGTGTCTTTACTTTATGTAGCTCTCGTGCTTTCACTTTATGTAGCTCTCGTGTCTTCACTTTATGTAGTCTCGTTTCTTCACTTTATGTAGCTCTCGTGTCTTCACTTTTTGTAGCTCTCGTGTCTTCACTTAATGTAGCTCACATGTCTTCACTTTATGTTGCTCTCATGTCTTCACTTTATGTAGCTCTCGTGTCTTCACTTTGTGTATCTCTCGTGTCTTCACTTAATGTAGATCTCGTGTCTTCACTTAATGTAGCTCTCATGTCTTCACTTTACGTAGCTCTCATGTCTTCACTTTATGTAGCTCTCATGTCTTCACTTAATGTAGCTCTCATGTCTTCACTTTATGTAGCTCTCGTGTCTTCACTTTATGTAGCTCTCGTGTCTTCACTTTATGTAGCTCTCTTGTCTTCACTTTTTGTAGCTCTCGTGTCTTCACTTTTTATAGCTCTCGTGTCTTCACTTTATGTAGCTCTCGTTTCTTTACTTTTTGTAGCTCTCGTATCTTCACTTTATGAAGCTCTCAAGTCTTTACTTTATGTATCTCTCGTGTCTTCACTTTATGTAGCTTTCGTGCTTTCACTTTATGTAGCTCTCGTGTCTTCACTTTATGTAGCTCTCGTGTCTTCACTTTATGTAGTCTCGTGTCTTCACTTTATGCAGCTCTCGTGTCTTCACTTTTTGTAGCTCTCGTGTCTTCACTTAATGTAGATCTCGTGTCTTCACTTAATGTAGCTCTCATGTCTTCACTTTATGTAGCTCTCGTGTCTTCACTTTATGTAGCTCTCATGTCTTCACTTAATGTAGCTCTCATGTCTTCACTTTATGTAGCTCTTGTGTCTTCACTTTATGTAGCTCTCATGTCTTCACTTAATGTAGCTCTCATGTCTTCACTTAATGTAGCTCTCATGTCTTTACTTTATGTAGCTCTCATGTCTTCACTTTATGTAGCTCTCATGTCTTCACTTTATGTAGCTCTCATGTCTTCACTTTATGTAGCTCTCATGTCTTCACTTTATGTAGCTCTCATGTCTTCACTTAATGTAGCTCTCATGTCTTCACTTTATGTAGCTCTCGTTTCTTCACTTTATGTAGTCTCGTGTCTTCACTTTATGTAGTTCTCGTGTCTTCACTTTATGTAGCTCTCATGTCTTCACTTAATGTAGCTCTCAGGTCTTCACTTTATGTAGCTCTCATGTCTTCACTTTATGTAGCTCTCGTGTCTTCACTTTATGTAGCTCTCATGTCTTTACTTTATGTAGCTCTCGTGTCTTAACTTTATGTAGTTCTCGTGTCTTTACTTTATGTAGCTGTCGTGTCTTTACTTTATGTAGCTCTCGTGTCTTCACTTTATGTAGCTCGCGTGTCTTCACTTTATGTAGGTCTCGTGTCTTCAATTTATGTAGCTCTCGTGTCTTCACTTTATGTAGCTCTCATGTCTTCACTTTATGTAGCTCTCGTGTCTTCACTTTATGTAGTTCTCGTGTCTTCACTTTATGTAGCTCTCATGTCATCACTTTATGTAGCTCTCATGTCGTCACTTTATGTAGCTCTCGTGTCTTCACTTTATGTAGCTCTCGTGTCTTCACTTTATGTAGCTCTCATGTCTTCACCTTATGTAGCTCTCGTGTCTTCACTTTATGTAGCTCTCATGTCTTCACCTTATGTAGCTCTCGTGTCTTCACTTTATGTATCTCTCGTGTCTTCACTTTATGTATCTCTCGTGTCTTCACTTTATGTAGCTCTTGTGTCTTCACTTTATGTATCTCTCTTGTCTTCACTTTATGTATCTCTCGTGTCTTCACTTTATGTAGCTCTTGTGTCTTCACTTTATGTAGCTCTCGTGTCTTTACTTTATGTGGCTCTCGGACATTCATATTATGTGAACATTTCAAATTCCCTATGAGTGGCTCTCATTAAGTACTGTTACTGTCTGCATATACCACTTCTGGGGTATAGGTGGATGAGGCTTCGGAAGATTGTATTTGAGCTTGAGGATTTTAGGGCCGCATGACTAAAAATTATATTCTTGCAGAGGACAGAAATAAAATAAAAAATTATTTTCATACATTCACTATGTGCGACTTGACTGCATTTATTTTATGTGAACATCATATATTTACTGTCTGACTCGCACACATTCACTTAATCTTACTCTTACATTTTCATGCATTCAGTATATGTGGCTTCCTGCATTCACTTTATGAGAATATCATACATTTACCTAATGTTACTATTATATATTTATGATACATGAGCTAGGCCTCAGATAATTGAGTAACATAAAGGAAAAGAGGAGCAACATGGATTCAATCACTTCAGAGTGGGTTACTGGAACTGCCAAAGTGCCAATCATAGAGGTCCTGGAACTGCCGCAGTGCCAAGAAGACGACGCTTAGAACTATGGGAGTGCCATGCAGACAGGGTCTGAAACTTTTTTAAGTGGCAAGCAGACAGGATCTGGAATTGTTGCAGTGGCAAGCAGACAGGATCTGGAACAGTTGCAGTGGCAAGCAGACAGGACCTGAAACTGTTTTAGTGGCAAGCAGACGGGATCTGAAACGGTTTTAGTGGCAAGCAGACAGGATCTGAAACTGTTTTAGTGGCAAGCAGACAGGATCTGAAACTGTTGCAGTGGCAGGCAGACAGGATCTGAAACTGTTGCAGTGGCAAGCAGACAGGATCTGGAACTGTTGCAGTGGCAAGCAGACAGGATCTGAAACTGTTGCAGTGGCAAACAGACAGGATCTGAAACTGTTGCAGTGGCAGGCAGACAGGATCTGGAACTGTTGCAGTGGCAAGCAGACAGGATCTGGAACTGTTGCAGTGGCAAGCAGACAGGATCTGGAACTGTTGCAGTGGCAAGCAGACAGGATCCGGAACAGTTGCAGTGGCAAGCAGACAGGATCTGGAACTGTTGCAGTGGCAAGCAGACGAGGCCCGAAACTGTTGCAGTGGCAGGCAGACAGGGTATTATTTGAGAGACTGAGTGCCAGGCAGACAGGGTATTACTGGAGAGACTGATTTATGACTTTGGTAGTATCATGCTAGAGGTAATAAATGTAGATCCATATGAGAAACAGGATATCTTAGTTATATAAATCCTCCCGGACAGGAGAGACATTTACAATATCTGCTGGTGAATGCAGACAGATAATGGCGGCACAACATAGAATGTCATAAATGTTTTTTTTCCCTGTCAACTCTCATGCAAGAAACGAATTCTGTGAGTGGCTCCATGATTGTGAGGTATTCGGTGGTAAGAGGCTTCTCATCTGTGTGGATTTGAATGCTCTGCCGAGCATGGGCCAGGAAGGGAGAAATAGACAAGGAACTGTCCTATCAGAAGCTATAGCAAATACAGACCTCAAGTGTATACGCGATAGTAGGCTAACTAGAATGACAACGAGATTTGATGACGCAGACATGCTATGACCAGTTGGCAGTGCTGGACACGAAATAAAGTGTCCTGGTCATCATGGGAGTGACGATCTTCTATGCTCAGTCTTGATTTGAAAGCCCTCGACAGAACCACAGGCTCTGTTTTTCTGCAGCTTTCATGGTGTAGAACTCCCCATAAAGAGAACAGGAATGGAAGACAAAGACAGCTGCATTGACAAATTGCCGAAAGGGCGAGAGACTCCTCACAGGTTACAAGATTTGAATTGAATGATTTGATGTGATTCAAGAACAGAAATCACAGCACTCGGGGCATTACCATAATCGCTCCGTTCCCATCTTCAGCAGCCAGCAAAGAGTTCCGATACTAATGGTGCCAGTAGCATTCTGATTAAACGTCCGTCTTGCCTTTCCCCTGAGCCTCGAGCATCTGCCAAAACCTCGCGTCACTTCCTGCTGCATCAATCTCACCAGACTGTGGTGATCCATCTGCGCCTCCGAACTGTACACGCTCTCCCACAAGGCACTAACCACGTCGGCCTTTTCATGCATCAGTATTTCACCAAGTTGTGCAGACTCAGCCAGTTTGTCCGCCTGTTCATTTTCCAACATACCAGCGTGTCCCTGTGAAAAAATCCAGACTATACTCCTCACTCGTGTCCTCCGCAGCGAAGCATGCCACTCTGCACGAAACATGCCTGGTCTGATCTTCCTCAGCATGCTTTCTGAATCAGTTACAATCACAAGAGAAGCAGGTAAGGATAATGCACAAGACGGTTCTGATGGCGCACATCCCTCAGGCATGGTGCATCAGCCTGCCAGGCAGAGGAGGTTGCACAGGCAGAGAAACGGACGCAGACTATAAGATAAGAAGAAACTCTACAGGGGAGCATGTATAGCAGGAGTCTACCAATCATCAGTAGAAGTGATCCTTCATCCACAACTATTTCGGCCCACGAGCTCCTACGCAGTTTCAGAGGGTGGGCCCACCTGAGTTCATGAAGCTCTAGCTTGATCTGGTCCTGCCGCACGTATTAGAAAGAACCGTACTGCTAATCCCACACTTAGTGCGGCTTCCACCTGTTGTCCAGACTGCTCAAGCTCTTTTCGGGCTCACAATGGATTATTCAGCCACTTTTGCACTCATAATCATTGACCATTGATGAACAGTTGTCTTTATCGCTGGTGATGGACGAACACCAGAAACGAACCTGGACAAAGAAACATATCAACAGTTACCGTCTGCAAACATGTCTACGGAATAATGATCGAATCTTGTGGTGTGTACTCTAGTAAATAGGCATGGATGTCAACCCTGATTTAATAAGTAGTCTAACGGCTGTGGTAGTGTGACTGAAGATTATTTCATGTGAGCAACTAACCCTAGACGACTATCAACTGACCGCTACTTCACCTGTTTGAATTCCAGTAACCCACTCTAAACAACTTCTATTTCGGCGTGAATTTAGTGTAGGTACAGTTTGACTGACAAGACACGAAGATTGTGTAAGTCCATGAAAATTGTAACAAACCATTTAAAAA